TATTTTTAAATTTTTGAGGTACTGCCATATTGTTTTCTGTAGCAGCTGTACCATTTTACATTCGTGTCAGTGGTGCACAGGGAGTCTCATTTCTCCACACCTTCACCAACACTTGTTATGTTCTCTTTCTCTCTTTTTTTATAGTAGTCATCTCTTTTTTTAATAGTAGTACTTCTTATGAGTTTGAGGTGGTGAGAAGACTCTTTTTGTCCCATTGAATTGTCTTGGCAGCCTTGTCAAAAATCAGTTCACTATAATAAAATAAATAAGTCACAGGGATGAAAAGTATAAAACAGGGAATATACTCAATAATATTGTAGTACACTTATCATGGTGATATGTGTACAATAGTATACATAGTGATTGTTGAACCACTATGTTGTACACCTGAAACTAATTTAATATTATATATCAACAATACTTCAATTAAAATAAAAAAATTCAATTGACAATAAATGTGGAAGTATTTCCAGTCTCTGAATTTTATTCCTTTGTTCATATGTCAGTACCACACTCTCTTGATTACTGTGGCTCTGAAATAAGTTTTGAAATTGGAATACGTGTCTTCCAATTTGTTTTTTTTCCATGATTGCTTTTTGGTCATGCTGGAACCCTTGCATTTCTGTATGACTTTTAAGATTCGTTTGTCAATTTCTGCAAAAAAAAAACCAGTAGGGATTTTGATAGGGATTACATGAAATCTGTGGATTAATTTAGGTAGTACTGCCATCTTAACAATATTAAGTCTTTTGATCCATGAACATGAGATATTTTTCCATTTATGTGGGCCTTCTTCCATGTCTTTCAACAATGTTTTATAGTTTTCAGTGTACACATTTTACACACTTGCTTCACTAAATTTATTCCTAAGTATTTTATTCTTATGCTGTTGTAAATGGAATTTAAAAAAAATTCATTTCTGGATTGTTCATTGGTAGTATATAGAAATGCAATTGATTTTATACATTTATCTTGTCTCTTGCAACCTTGCTGAACTTGTTTATTTTGATTTGTGTGTGTGCGTATGTGTGTGGATTCCTTAGGATTTTCTATATGCAAGATCATGTCATCTGTGTACAGAGATAATTTTGCTTTTTCTTTCCATTCTGGATACCATTCATTTCTTTCTCTTGCCTAATTGCCCTGGCTAGACTGTCCAGTCCAGTGTTGAGTAGAATTGGCAAGAGTGGATTTCTTTGAATCATATTTTCAATGTTTAGTGTTTTGGAAATATGTGTTACTGACAATGATCCTCTGAGAACTTGAAAATCCAGCTTTATGTCCTCTTGTAGTAACAAAAGTAACAAAACTTCTATTGAAAATCCAGCTTTATGTCCTCTTTAGTAACAAAAGTCACAAAACTTCTATTGAAAATCCAGCTTTATGTCCTCTTTAGTAACAAAAGTCACAAAACTTCTGTTGGAATTTAGCATGCTGTTTATTTTTTGAACATTAATATGCACAATAGATTCTAGCTTGGCTTTTTCCAAAACTTTGATGCCTTTCCTCTGTTAGCTTTATGAGTTTGTTTTCTAAATGTCGTGAAAGTAAGCCAACTGTGGGACTTCTAAAAACATGTCTCTAATGTAAACGTCCTCTTAAGGAATTGTGTGTACTGAGTATAATTGAATAAGAATAAATAATCAGGATGTTCATATTGTCTCAACTAGTGCTTCCTACTCTTAGTTTGGGCTAATGCTTTGTAGTTAGCACATTTGAAGTAAGTTTATAATTTGTAGTAGATAAAGTGGAAAACCAGAGATGATGCTAGTGGGTAAGTGAGGGAGAAGCAGTGATTATACTACTTTTGATAATTTATTTCTTTTTTTTCCTATTTATCTACTTATTTATTTTTATTTTTTTAATTTTATTATGTTATGTTAGTCACCATACAATACATCATTAGTTTTTGATGTGGTTTATTTCTACATCCAACTTCTGAAAGGTATATATTTTTTCCTTTTTTAAATTCAAGTGTAATTAACATACAGTGTTATATTAGTTTCAGGTGTACAATATAATGATTCAACAGTTCTATACATTTCTCAGTGCTCATCAAGATAAGTGTACTCTTAATCTCCTTTACCTGTTTCCCCCATCTCCCCACCTACTGCCCCTCTGGCAACTGCCAGTTTGTTCTCTCTATTTGAGTGTCTTTTGTCTCTTTTTTTCTTTGTTTTGTTTCTTAAATTCCACACATGAGTGAAATCATATGGTATTTGTCTTTGACTGACTTATTTCACTTAGCATAATACCTTCTAGGTCTATCCATGTTATTGCAAATGGCAAGATCTTATTCTTTTTTATGGCTGAGTAATAATCCATAGTGTGTATATACTACATCTTCTTTATCCATTCATGTATCCATGGCACTTGGGTTGCTTACATATCTTGGCTATTGTAAATAATGCTGCAGGAAAAATAGGGGTGCATATATCTTTTTGAAGTATTTTTGTTTTCTTTGGGTAAATATGAAGGGTATATTTTCTTGCTCATATTTATTCTCTACAGAAAGAGGTGGAAGTAACTCTTCTGAACTTTATTCCATATTGTAGATTTTTGTCAGTACTTAGAAATCCAATTCAGAGAGTAGAGTTTTCTCACATAATAGAGCCTTTCTTGAATATATTCTGTATGTCACACTTTGACCCATTGGAAATATGAAATAAGTATAAGCATGTTTATTCTCTGGATGTTTGCAAGATATTTAGGAAGATCAAGTATATGTACTTACCTTGTACTGCTCTGTATTTGTGGTTCTGTGTGTATGTTCCTTTCTCCCTAACTAAATGTAACGTCCTCGAGGAGGACCATCTTTGTATGGACACAATGTGTATCACAGTGCCTCACATATACCATGTGTTTGTTATGAATTTTTGAAATTAATAGAACAGGAAAAACAATATAGTAGTACAACAAAATACTCAAGTGAATGGCATAATCAATCAGTATTGTTGAATGTCAGAGGTAATGATGATCAGTGTGTACTGGATTTATTAGGAAAGTCTTCATGCAAGACACGGTTCTTAAGTGGACTCATCAAAGATAGGTAAGACCCGAGCAAGGGGAAAGGGTATTTCAAGTAAGTGTCATAGTTTGGAGGCAGTGAGTGGATCATATCTACTAGAATAGAAAGTTGGTATTGGCTTGTAGATAGAAGGGTGAACAAGTAAGTAGGAACATCATATTTCAGAGGCCTTAAATGCTAGTTTGAAAGGTTTGCCCTTATTCCATTTGACATTAGCAAATCATTGGCATTTTTTGAACTAGAAAGTTTTGGGGCAAAGTTGTACTTTAAGAACATTTACTTGGTGATAGTACATATCACGGGCTGGAGGGAAACTTGTATCAGGAGACCATTTAGAAGGGTACGGTAATAATTGAATTCTTCTAGTCTGTCAACTATTAACAGAATTTTTTCTTTGATCTTTAGTGGCTAGCATAGTGGCTAGTGCAGGGTTCAATTTCTTTTTCATTGGATGCATGAATGTATGGACTAGGTCACCTGGGCCTGGATAGAGCTGTTAGCAGTGGGAAGTACCCTTATGAGAAACGTTTTGGAGGAAGAACTGAGATGACTTGTTTTCTAAGAGTATAAAGGGTGTGAGTGAGGTCAAAGAGGACACTAAAGTCACAGTATGGGAAATTAAGGAATCCCTAGAAATAGGGAAATCAGCTAGGGGAAGAGAGGAGTGGGAAAAGGGACATTCATGAGCATGTTTTTAGACTTGCTGAGTTTAACATTGAAATACATAGTATGTAGTTGGAGGAAGAAAGGCTCAGATGAGAACTGAAGTCTGAGTGTATCAATTTGGATATCACTATGAAGATACTGTTTGGGCAGGAAAAATGATTGGATTGATAGAATTGTTGGGCATGTACACATGCGTACATACTCTTAAATGCTAGAACCCAATATGTGTGTTTGTCGATATACTAATCTGCTGGTTGTTATTAGCAGAATGATGAGTACTTGTTCTTAGGGTGAGCAGAGGGAAAAAAAAAAGCTAAAGAAGGAGGCAAGAAAGGAACAGAGGTGGAAGAACTTAACAACACAAATTTGCTAAGGAGACTTTGTAATTTGTCTTGTGTTTCAAGATGGTATTAGTAATGACTAGTAGTACTCCCATATCACTTACTAAGTGCTTAGTGTGCCAGACACTGTGATAGGCATGCTATCTTTATTTATCCTCACATCAAATCTGTGATATCACTACTATTAGATCCTCTTTTACTGATAAACTGAAGTCTAAAGAAGTTAAAATTTGCCCAAGATGAGTTGAGCTAATAAATAATTAGGATAATTGTGGATATAAACCTGACTTTTTTTTTTTGACTCCAAGCCAAATATTCTTTCCATTATACCAAAGGTTTGTATGTTCAATTTCTTCAAGATAAGGTTTTTATCTTTAGAGAAATAGTTCCCGGTAAAGGTTTATTAATTAGCAGGCAGTGATTGAACAGTCATATTTCCTATAGAAAAATCCACATGTACTTTGGATGTGGCTGCTTTTCTACGTAGGTATTTATATTTATAGTGTGGTAGGGAGATGAAACTTTTTTGATTGCATGTTGTGGATATTTGTTTTGTTTTTAAAGATTTCATCTATTCATTTTAGAGAGAGAGAGCGTGAAAGAAGGGGGGCAGCAGAAGTGGAGGGAGAAGTGGAGGGGCAAAGAATATCAAGCAGACTCCACACCCAGTGTGGAGCCCTATGGGTGGGGGCTCAATCTCATGACCTTGAGACCACGATCTGAGTCGAAATCAAGAGTCGGATGCTTAACCGACTGAGCCACCCAGGTGCTCATGTGGATATTAATTTAAAAGATGGTATCAGTTCTTTCATTTGAGGAATTAATCATTCAGAGAGCACTTTTCAAATTTTTTTTTTTTGTTAAACTAATATAAGCTTCTTTTAAAAGTGTTTCTGATGCATGCCTCAAAACATTCATAAATTAGCAAGGAAATAATAAGGGCCTGATGTTTTCTTTTCTTTCAGGGGATATCATTTTCAATGCCCAATACCCAGAGCTGCCCCCTGATTTCATTTTTGGAGAAGATGCTGAATTCCTGCCAGATCCCTCGGCTCTGCATGTGAGTACTGCACGCTCATTTCGGATGATCTTTATTTGTTGAAGAAAAATAAAATTAGCTTCTGACAATTGCTTGACAGATAAATTTGTCGAACATGTGGGGTTTTTTCCACCCCTTTTTTCTCTGTCCTCTGAAATCAGTACAGCTCTTCATGTGCCAAAATAGTTTAAAGAAAAGATTTTTTTTTTCAATTGCAGTTTTACTTTCAGACTATTTTGAATTAAAATCTTTAGCATATTGGTTAAAATATTTTTACTTCAGCTTAAAGAGACATGTTGAAGACATTTCTTTATTTTAATTTAATACATGCCTACGATCATTTTTCTAATGTTTACTAACACTTCATCACAGAGTTTGTTAGGGGAGTGTTTCTTGGCTCTTGAAAAGAGGCCTTTTTTGTATAGAAGTAAAAGTGGCCAATGTGGACTTGTGCCCATATTATCTCAGTATTATTATCAGAAGGTTAAAGACCAGATTAAGTTGTTCTTTATTAAGCAAAACCAAAATCTTTGTAGTTAAAGTAACATGTTTCTGGGGTTAAAGCAGGGAAAGGAGTGGTGGTACTCATCAGAGCACATGTGGTTTACATAAAAAATTGTGTGTTTCACATTGCTGGTGGAGAAAAACACGTGCCATTTTGTTTAAAAGGTCTGACCAGACAAAATGTCTCTTTATTTCCCTTCTCAAGTTCAATTTTGCTATGATGCCTATACTATAGTTCAAAACTATGTTCTTTGTTTTGTTTTTTGGACATTTTTTTTTGGTCTCAGAGTTTTGTAATTAAAAGTTTTGATGACTTACTGGGAAATCTTGCCCCCCTCCCTTTTTAAAAAGGGAAGTGTTAAACAGGAAGTGTCAACCAAACCTAAAGAATGATCTTAAATTTTAGAACACAGCTGTAAAAATGCAATTGGCAAAAGTAGGATGGGTTTGTTGCAAAATTTCTAATAATTACACTCAAACTGTTAGTTGATTTTTAAAAATTTGTAGCTTAAGCATGTTTCCTTTAGATGCTGTGTGTTACATATTCACCCCTTATTGAAGCTGAGGGGCTTACCTGGAGAAAATGAGGCAGAAATATCTCTACAGACCTCTTCTGTGATAAAGACGTCAGTGGAGGGTAGCATTTGCTAAATGCCAAAGATGTATTATAGGCTAAGTGCGCCAGGAATTTAAAGAAAGTTGTCAGAAAAGGCTCTGTAGTAGAGGTGAGACTTGGACTCATTCTTGAAGAATGGAGAACAAGTGGGGAGTATGGCAGAGAGAATTTCAAGTGGCGGGGAGGAGTGACAGAAACAAATGAAATGTGTAATATATTACAGAAGAAGGTACTGACAGGTTTGCTGAAGTGTAAGTTAATATAAGGAAGGGCTAGGAAAGGTTAGAAAGGGAAATTGGACTAAGATTGTGAAGAACATTGAATTCTAGGTTAAGAGCCACAGAAAGAGATGATAATTGGAGAATCGTGTCACAGCAATGTGGTCAACATCATGGATTAAAGAAAGATTGAGGACCGGAATTGAGGACTGTTGCAAAAATCCGGGGGAGGGAGAAGGAAGGGGCTTTGAGCTAGGATGACACAAGAAGAGGAATACTATGAAGGAAAGGATAAGAAATGTATTTACAACTTCTTTTTTTTTTGGAATTGCCTTTAAAATTTGCAAGGCACATTTTCAATGGTGATAAGTATTGTGAGAGCATAGAATTTAAAAGGCAAAAAGGACTTTGAGGTTCAGCTTATTCCACTTTTCTATTTTAGTACTGAGAAAATTGACCTAGAATTATATAATTGTGCCAGAGTTGATATTATAACTCCACTCTTCTGATATTTAGTCCCTGAGAGAAATTTCCGCAGATGTTTTTGGGATTAGCTGAAGAGGGACAGACAAAAAAACAAAACAAAACCCAAAACACTGTATCTAAGAGAAAGATTACCAATCTAGGGGAATACTTTCTCTTTAGCTGTAGTCAATCTGAGCACTCAGCTAGGCTACCCAGTACTTCTCCGTAGACCAGTGGTTTGGGCAAGCCTAGTAAAGCAACCAGGGTACACCCTCCACCAGCTGGTGAGGTCCTCCCAGCCCTAGAGGTGCCCTTGATGCTCATTGTCATCTGGCTAAAACATTAGGACAGGATACATGTCCACAGACATTTCTCTGAGCATAGCATGCCTCTGAAGGAGTTTTCCCTCAGCAGTTAACAAGCTATGGTTTAGTTCTTCAATTCGGTTCAGCCTTTTTTCTTTCCTTCCTGAAATGCACAGAGCACATTCACTAATAACCTGATTAGTCCATTTTGGTTCTGAATGAAGGAGGGATTCCATGTTTCATCACCCATGGAGTAGAGAGCAGAATGTCTAGATTTTTTGGATTTCCCCCCTGAAGTACTAACTGCAGGAGGGAATGAATATATACCCTTAGATTCTGGGAGCATAGTCCATAGTCCAAAGTAGTTGCTATGGCAAATATGGAATTTCCTTGACTCTTCTGGGTTTTATCTTAAAAATTAATAAAAATTATTTTGCATTTGATTCTATAATATACCTGTGCTTTTTAATAAAAAGTATATCAAGTTATAAATATTTGAGAAAAAAATGTGTCAGTTTGAGAAATACAATTTTTGAGAATATATGTGATCTTTTATTTATTCAATTTATTTAAACCAACTTCTTTCTAGAAAAGGATTTGAAATAACTTACAGGATACACATAAGGTTAACAAAAATATATGAGGTGCTCTAATCCATCAGATGAGGTCACCTCTTTCTAAACTCAAGCTCTTCATTCACAAAGATGAGTTTCATTAAGAACTTTAAGATCCTCAGATGAATAGAAAATACTAGGTGGAGATACCAGATCCAGATAAATACAAAATAGATACCAGAGACAGGTATATCATAGATACCGGAGAATCATAAAATCATTGAGTTATAATCGTAATTGTCCAGTGGTTCCCACTTCTGACTATTCATCAGAATAATTTAGGAAGCCTGTTAAAAATACAGATTCTTGGGGCACCTTCGTAGGGGCTTGGTCAGTTAAGCATCTGCCTTCAGCTCAGGTCATGATCTCGGGATCCTGGGATCGAGCCCTGCATTGGGCTCTCTGCTCAACAGGAAATCTACTTCTCCTTCTCCCTCTCTCTCTCAAATAAATAAATAAAATCTTAAAAAACAAAAACAAAAACCCAGATTCTTGGATCCCGCTGGAATCTGAATTAGACCTGTTATGGAGCTGAAGAGTCATTAAATTCTCTGGACCATTTCTATGTATTAGTCTGTGAACTGATATTGAGAATCACTAATTGGGGCACCTGGGTGGCTCAGTCGGTTAAGCGTCTGCCTTCAGCTCAGGTCATGATCCCCGGGTCCTGGGATCAAGCCCCGCATCAGGCTCCCTGCTCAGCGGGGAGCCTGCTTCTCCCTTTCCCACTCCCCCTGCTTGTGCTCTCTTTCTCTCTGTCAAATAAATAAATAAAATCTTTTTTAAAAAAAGAATCACTAATTGAACCCATCTTTTTTTTTTTTACATTTATTCACTTTTATTTATTTATTTATTTAATTTTATTTTATTATGTTAAGTTAGTTCCCATACTGTACATCATTAGTTTTTGATATAGTGTTCCATGATTTGTTGTTTTAACCACCCAGTGCTCACGCAGTATGTACCCTCCTTAATGCCCATCACTGGGCTAACACATCCCCCCACTCCCCTCCCCTCTGAAACCCTCAGTTTGTTTTCCATAGTCAGTAGTCTCTCATGGTTCGTCTCTCCCTCCGATTTCCACCCCTTCATTTTTCCCTTCCTTCTCCTAATGTCCTCCATGCTATTCCTTATGTTCCACATATAAGTGAAACCATATGATAATTGTCTTTCTCTGCTTGACTTATTTCACTTAGCATAATCTCCTCCAGTTCCATCCATGTTGATGCAAATGGTGGTTATTCATCCTTTCTGATGGCTGAGTAATATTCCATTTTATATATGAACCCCATCTTCTTTATCCATTCATCTGTTGAAGGGCATCTCGGCTCCTTCCATAGTTTGGCTATTGTGGACATTGCTGCTATGAACATTGGGGTGCATGTGCCCCTTCTTTTCACTACCTATGTATCTTTGTGAGCCCATCTTTTATAGTAGCATCTCTGACAGAGGCCCACTTGTTTTTGCTTGACATTATTTCCAGTGAGGTATCATTTTTCCATTTTGGGGATGGCTCCATTTTTTTTTTTAATTAACAGCTTTATTGAGGCATAGTTTATATGCTGTATAATCCTGAAAGTGTATAATTCAGTGGTTTTTACTATATTCACAGAGTTGTACAACCATCATCACCACAGTTAAATTTAAATTTTTTAAATTGAGGTATAATTGACATTTTAGCATTATATTACTTTCAAATATACAACATAATGATTTGGTATTTGTATATATTGTGAAATGATCACTACAGTGTCTCGTTAACATCTGCCATCATCAGAGTCAAATTTAGAACATTAGCAGTCCCTGCCCCTTCCTCTCCACTCCTACCCATATCCACTCTAAGCAGTAACTATTCTACATTCTGTCTCTATATATTTGCCTGTTCCGGACATTTCATATAAGTGGAATCATACCATATGTGGTCCTTTGTGACTGACCAATTTCATTAACATACAGTTTTCAGTGTGTCATATATCACTATTTTGTTTTTTATTGCTAAATAATACTACATTTTATGCATAAACCACATTTTATTTATCCATTGTCAGTTGATGGACATTTGGGTTGTTTTCATGTTTTGGCGATTATAAATACTGTTGTTGTGTAGGCATGTTTTAATTTTTCTTAGATATATCCCTGGGAATGGAATTGCAGGATCAGATGGTAACTATGTTTGGCTTTTTGAGGAACTCCCAGACTGTTTTCCAAAGTGGCTATACTGTTTTACATCCCTGCCAGCATATAAGTGTTCTAGTTTCTCCACACCCTCACCAACACTTGTTATTGTCTGTCTTTTTGA